ATAATTCTTATAATCCATTAATTAATAGCAATATAAAGTACTATGAGTGCATTTCATTTTCTATTAAATATTGTGCACTTTTAACAACCTTTTATTGCACATGTTTAAACACGTAAGGTCCATCTTCTCGTTTTTAGTTTACTATTTTTTAGCTTGTGTATTTGTGTGAATGCTTCTTTCATGTTTTATCATGCACTCATGCACAAATATATGAGATTAGTTGCTACATAAACATTTGCATATAAATGCATTTTAATGGAATAACATGTGCATGTCATGAGAGAAAAAGTGCATGTTAATGAGACAAAAAAATTTATTTACAAAAATGTATGATATATTACTTGATGCACTTATATGCTCATCACATTGCATTTCATGAAGGTGCAAAGTCTTAATAATTAACTCTAATTCACTTCAATTACATTTTGATGCATAATTATATCTAAAGGGAACATAGTCCTATGCGAATAACATGTTCATCATTGCACTTTAAAATTCTTGTGGTGCACAATTGTAAATATATTATATTTTAATAGAATAGCATAAAGTAAATTAAACACCAGTGCACTAGTCTATTAGTGCATAAAACTAAAGTGAACGATACAAATTATACATGGGAACATGAAATTAATTAATCGTAATTGAAATTTTGAATTAAAGTGCATTCTATCAACGTTAAAGTGCATATTGACGAAAGTGATTTCATTAAGAAAGGATTTCGTATAAAAAGTAGATTAATTAAACGTAAATAATAGGATGCAAATTGAAAAAAGAAAAGTTTTTATGGATCGGAAATATTTATGGAGATAAGAAATGCTTATCCTATTTCTTAGGAAAACTTCCGAATATAGTGGCACGTGTGAAATCATATTTGAATTTATTTGACATCAATGCCCCTCCTAATTAATGAAATGAGGTCTTTCCTTGTATCATGTACGTTTTTTAATTCACAAATTTGGTCATCCCAGCCGCACGATTGAGAGAATGGAGGGTCAGATCTTGTTCTTTTTTCCTCTCCTAAGAGGGTGTTCTCACCTGAACCGTTCCCTATATATATATATAGATTATAAATCCCTTCGGGCAAAGTAACTTTTTTGTTTTCATGCATGTAATATGCATAATTTTCTATCAAGTCTTTTGACCCTTTTCTAATTTCAAGACTCTTCATGTCAATTGAATAACTATAAAATCTTAAATCTATCATTGTATAACTTATCGGAGGCTAATGTTGGGGTTAGAACTTAGAACAATGTAAATCTAGTCCTCCACATTTTTAATATAGGATTTATATAGTGTAACTATACAATATAAAATTACGTATTTCGTTAATGACATAATGATAAAGAATGATAGAACTTATATTACCCATATTGTTTGATTGTCAAAAGGATATTGTTATGGCTGATGAAAAGCTAAAGAGAAAAGAAACATAAATTAGAAAGATAAAAATAAAAAGTAATATTCAGGGTAACAAAACAAGAAGCATTAAAAACATATTTAAGCCTTAATAAAATCGATCATTAGCCTATACTTATTGGTGAAACAGTTTTTAAAACGGAAATTGTCCTAAATAGGACTAAAAAGTTCCTAAAAAGCACAAATAGGACTACTATTTTTAAAATTCCCTAAATAGGACTAAACATTGATTTTCTACCCTAAATACCCCTAAGAGTATTAATTCATAATGAAATGCTTTAATTCATAATAAAATCACAAAAAACGTAAAAAATATTTAAAAAACGTAACAAAATTAAAAAAAAATTATAAACATTTATAAAATAAAAAATTGAATTTTTTATTTTTTTAATTTTTTTTAAAAAATAATTAAAAATAGTAAAAACCCATAAAAAATGAAAAAAATTATGGATACCTTTCTCACCGCCTCCCAGCAGCACCACCTCCGATTGGTGAAATTTCTTCCACTTTTGGTAAAAAAATGCCATATTTTTCTGAAAATGCCAAAAAGATGGCATAATTACTCTTCAATATGCCAACATTTTCATTGATTATGCCATCATTATGGCATTATTTAAAATGTTGGCATATTTTTGTCCGGTGATGGGAGATGGTGGTGTTGGGGGTGGCAGGGGTGGTAATGTGTTTTTTTTTTAATTTTATGATTTATTTTATTTTATTTTATTTTTAATTTTATTTTTTTTAATTTTTTTTTTTTTTTAATTTTCTATTATTTTTGTTACGATTTTTAGTATTTTTTTCGATTTTTATTAATTTTTTTATGATTTTATTATTAATTAAAACATTTCACAAGTTACAAGGGTATATTTGTCCAAACACACATAAATAGTCCTATTAAGGGAATTTAAAAAATGTAGTCCTATTTGTGCAATTTTTCCACTTTTTAGTCCTATTTAGGGAATTGACTCTTTTTAAAAAGTTGATACTAAAAAAAGTTCGTTTAAATATTATTTAAAAAATTGAAGCTAACAAGAACAATAGTTTGAAAGAATGACTAAAGTATTATTTGGGGACTTTCAAATGACAAAAATAATCTCAAGTTTTAAATTAGACAAAAACGAGAGTAAATATTGACAAATGGACTGCAATGCCCTTAATTAAATCAGCCCAATCAAGTCTTTTCTACTCAAGCCGTCTGCGACTCTGTTCCATCGACACCTCCTGCAGCGTAGAACTCCCCAATCGCAGGTCTCCTCCAGCGCAGATCTCCACCGCCGCAAGCGCGGATCTCCACCGCCGCAAGCGCTGATCTCCACTGCAGCAAGCGCAGCTCTCGCCTCCGCAACTACTCAATCTTCTTTTCCTTTATTATGTCCGCAATCTGCCATTCTCCTTCAACTTTCTTCTTCGTCGAAGCTGCTCAGAGGGCCGATGGACAGCCGCCGTCGTTGGAGGATCTCATGGATTGGGGAAGGCAAACTTCATCGATGATGTTGGCAATACTCTCACCGTGGACTACCGGCGGACAAGAGCTCAAAGCAGTGGCGAGAAGCTCGGACCACCGGCGGACACGAACTCGGACCAAGTGGCGAGAAGCTTGGACCACCGCGAACATCCATTGTTCACTTAAGATTTCATCTTCTCCTCCTTTCTTCTGTCCGGAGTTCGCAGATCTGAAATTACTGTGCAAATTCGATGATGACGTCGGCAAAAAAATGTTGGGGAGGATGGTGGCTAGGGTTATATTTGCTGATGGTTGGAGCTGTGCTGGTCGGAGGTGGGGCTAGGGAAGGACGGATCAGGGTTGGGCTGGTTGGGGCTCGAGCTGGAAACGGTGTTGGGGGCTACAGAGGAGGGCGGGGGAGGTGGATGGGTGCTGGGAGGGGGCTGGGGCGGTGGTCAGCAGTGGGGAGGTTTGACTGTTTGAGGGCTGTGGTTTGGGATTTCGATTAGAGACGGGTCGGGGATGCTGGCCGCCGGAGTGAGTGTGGTGCTCATGTCACGGTGGCCATGGCGGTAGATGGCGGTGTTATCACAAATTTGCTTGAAAAAACTGTTGTTGGACTGTTTGTAACTGTAATTGTAATTGATCGGGTATGGTATTTCTAATTGATCGAATCGAGTAACTATAACTGTTAAAATTGAATAAATAAGAATAGATGAGTTGAATAACTGTAACTGATTAGGTTAAGTAACTGTAACTGGACAGGCGAACGTTGGTCACTGGACATACGGACGTTGGTACTGAAGGGGCGGAAGTCACTTTGTTATAGGGCGAAATTTTTGGTAACTAATGATTTTTGGTCACTGGTGAATTTGGATTTTTGGTCACTAATATTTTTTTGGGATTTTGGTCACTAGCGGATTTTGGTCACTGACAGTTTTTGGTCACTATGGTGTTACTGGTCACTGTGACGTTACTGTAGCACTAATAGGGGTATAATAGTCTCCTAATCACTTTTTAGTCTTATTTTTGGGAATTTGGGAAAAGAGCCACTTTTTTGTCCATAGCTCTTTTTTTAGTAATATTTTAGACAAAACCCCCAATAGTTTTTCATAGTATTAATAACGAATAGCAACAATAATGATGAAACGTGAAATTGAATAAGTAAAATAGTTAATACTAATAATGATAATTTTGCCTAAGGGGAGTTTCTCACAAATAGTAAGAAGTGAAATTGTATTATTGATAATGAGTTTGTACGGCTAATAATTATTGAGAGCAGTAAAATATGACCAAATTTTGTATAGGATATTAGGACTATCATTTTGAATTAAAACGACTCCCTTCGTCCCAAAATTAACTTCGGTTTTGACTGGGCACGAGGATTAAGATAGTGAGAAATGTGTGGTGGAGAGTTGTGCAGAAGAGAGAGAAATGTGTAAGAATGGTTGTGAACCACAAATTCTTTGCCAAAAAGGGAAAAAGAAGATAAATTTGGGACGGACCGAAAAGAAAAGAATGAAGATAATTTCGGGACGGAGGGAGTATTTAAAAACAAAACACGAGACCATGTTAGTAATAAAAAGTTTTAGTGAATTTTTGGAAAACTAAATAAAAATATTAAAAATAGAAAGACTGATTGCAAGCAAAAAGTTAAAAAAAATGATTGAGTAAAAATAAAGGAAAATATGGGATAGTAAATATTTTTTTAATGGAATAAAAATTGGGGTAAATTTTTCTGTTTGATTGTTAAAGTACTATGTTAAACAAAAACGGCGGTCATCTAGGGTTTATCCCTAGCAGTTTTTTCCGGCGGTTTTGGCCTGAGCAGGTGGTTCGTGACGTAGAGTGCAAGAAGGGGAGTCCCCGGACGATGGCGAGCAAAGGAGATGGAAGCGGAAACAGTGAGAAGGCGTTGCAGATGCTTTCGTCGGGGCTGGTATCGCAGGGAAAGGAGCAGGAGTGGGACGGCAACGTCTCCCTACAGTCGATCGGAAGGAACCATGGCAAGGACGACGAGCGTTCCGCGGCTGATCCCGTATGGGCGAAAGAAGATGAAGAGATGGTGATTCGTCCCCCCCCCCTGAACCGCCGTGTAACACCCCCATTTTTCCCACCAAAATAAAATAACATTTTGAAATGAAAACATCTTTATTATAAAATATATTTAGAGTACAGCGGAAGTCTTTAATGGAAAAACAGGTGTGTCACCGCCACACTCAACCTATACATGATTGAGTGCACAGGCTATCCACCATAAATTCAAGTAGCCATCGGGTAAAACTTATAACAAGTTTATGGATTACAAATTTAAACAATAACAATTAATCAAACGTGTGCAACTAGCGGAACACTCGGGCAGCAAGTACATCAATCTTCATAATCATAATCATCTGTACAATAGAGCAAAGAGAAAAAGAGAAAAAGAGACAAAAATTAGCTTTAGAGCTAAGTAAGATTCCACCCGAACCCGTAAAATAATATAATTTGGAAAATAGGTTTTTGTATATGTATATATATTGAAAAGTAGTCTCTCATATTTTCAAATGGTTTAATGTCATAAAATAATTTCCACAATAGATAAGATCATCCTTCAATTCTTCCAAAAGTAATACTTTAGATTCTTTTAAGAGTGGGCGAAACTCAAGATTCCTCGAGCCCAATGAGTCGTTGTTATCTACGACTCATCCCGGAATTCCGGCTCCCACTGACCACCAATTGGAAGCTGAATTTCTACCTTAAGTGTGCACACCCTCTAAAAGGGATTCCAAGCCCTCCGAGTAGTAAGAAACCCAAGTAGGCAGGATGTTTTCTACCGCCTACTCACAAGGGACATTGTCCAAGGGTAAATTAGGTAACTACTACTACGACCACCAAAGGATCTTTGATCCTCAAATAAAAGCCCGGGATGTCTACCGGAGTATGTCATTGCCGGACTGGTTACCGACCCAAATAAATTTCACCAAAAGTAGTAGTAGCCCTAACCACCCACGCCTCGTGTTTCTCTCGAGACGTAAGAATATATATTATGAAAACTTTAAGTTTTCCCCAAATCATTCTTGTCACATTTTCTCAAAATATCCTTTGGAATAAATATAAATCCACCAATATTCTTTAATAAAAAGAATATACATTTAATCATCCATAAAAGGTAATGATCCACCAATATTCATATAGTCAAAATATTCGATCCATGTCAAACATATAATTTCCAATTCATAAATAATTCACATAGTGCAAATATTGCATACATATAAGTACGAGGCAAAACATTTTGGTTGACATAGAACTTACCTTAAATTGTGATAATCTCCTTAATAAAATCTCTAGCTTGATCTTCACTTGAATTCTCCTTCTAATATTGATCAAAATTCTAAATCAATAACTATTCTATTATTTCGTTATTTCTTTTATATCCAACCTTTAATTACTTTAACTTCATAATTCCTTCTTTAAATATAAATATTAAATTAATAAATCTTACTAACTGTTTATTTCCAGTTCATTCTTATTATTTTCTTTAATTATAATAACCCAACTCGGTTTTTCTTAATTTGTTTGGTTAAATAGTTAACTAGTCCAATTATATTAACTACATAATAATTTCATTATTTCGAATTTAAATAATCAATTTCAGTTCAAAATTCAGTTTACATAATTTATATAATTTATTTAATAACCCTTTTAATAATAACTTGACTTAGGCAGTAATTCGAAATAATAATCATTAATGATAATCTAATCTCAATAACAACTTTAATTAGTTCAATAGTTTATTTATACTAACTAACCCAATTAAATTAATTTATCCAATCCTCCAGTTTTATTTATTTGACTCACTAATTTAATTGAACTAACTAAATCAAATAAATAAGTTTAATTATATCAATATAGCTAAATACGTTAATCTAATTCAATTAAGTCCAATAACCAAATTCTAATCTCGTTTTAATTTTCTATTTTTAATATAAATTCCAGAAATGTTATCAAGTCTATAAATTAACTAATTTATCCATTAAACTAATTGATTTAGTTAAACTAGTCCAATGAAGTCAATTAACTAACTTATTAAGTACACATTACTTAATTAATTTGTTTATATTCATCAACTAATTTTTATGAGTTCAAATAGTTTAATAATTTATATGGAGTCCAAATCACTAATAATCAAGGGTAATAATTATTAATTTAATCACGCTAATTTAATATCAAAATTTCCTTATTTAATTACTTAACTAGTTTATATGGCTCAATTAAATTAAATAACTTAATCATCACTTTTATAAATTACTAATCATCCATAACTATAGTTTGGGTCTATACTTGACCTAGGTTGTCCAGATATTTATTTTAGAATTATTTCCTTTATTTATTCACTTAATTTCATATATCTATTAACCGGTTTAATTACAATTAAATATGCTAATTATAATTTTTATTAATTATAAATGGTCCCAAATGTCCTAGTTAGTCATATATTTAATCTAGCTTGCTCCCATATTTATTTCATAATTATTTTCGTCATTTAGTTAATTATTTACTAAATGTGTACAACTTGGCCCAATTACAATTAAATCAATTAAAAATAGCTACAAATATTATTTTTCAATTATTCTTGGTCCGAATATGTATTTTTATACCAGGTATTTAATTTATATTTTTCCAGATTTTATTTATTTCATTTACTATTTTATTTTTAATTTTTTATTGAAAACGGGCCGAACCGGCCCAAATTCGCGACCCGGCCCAAGAAGACTGGGTTGTCTCCTTCCCAGCTCTTCTCCAGGTCGCGATTCCGGCGACCGGAATCCCGAAAACTCCGGCGAGCGATAACTTTACTTACAGGTAACGGATTTCGACGATTCCAGTTGCAAAATGATCCTCACGTCAAGGAGAAGCTCCGCCACCCCTATCTACGGCAAAATCGTGTCTTTTCTGAAGACCCGTTTCCACGGCTTGCAACTCCGGCGACCTCTAGGATGCTCCGGTGACTACGAATCGGTCTGGAATTTATTGGGAAGTATTCCTAGACCTCTCACGACCCTCCTCTCTTGTTTATAGGCAATTTCTTACGTAAATTTATATATGTGTATTTTTCCGGCGAGTAAGTATATATATATATTCTCTACTCGTTTTCTTCACTTTGTGGTGATTTAGAATGGGAAGGAAGCTGTATTTATAGCTGTAGATCGATCATTCTAGGCTGAATCATACATGGAGTGATTGGTTTGAATTATTTCTTCATTATTATTCAATATTATTATACATAGTATTATGAACATGCATGTGTAAATGTTGGTTGTTCTAATTCATTCTAAGTCTAGTCCGCAAGTTCATTGCATATATTATTACCTCTATTTGTATTATTGTGAACACCTATGTGTATGATTGTTATCCACAAGTTACATTTTATGTGTATATGTATATTATTACATGTTACAAAATGTCACTTATAATACTTTGATATTTATTTTTATTTACCTTGTCAGATATATTTTATCTGATTTATTTTTATTTTTATTTATTTTATTTTATTTTTTTCCGATGCCACATAAGTGTTTAATTTTCATTGCATGTAGTGTGCGTATATTTTTATACACCAAGTATAAAAAAATATTTTGATCTTACTTTCATTTGATTTATCAGATATAACTTATCTGATTTATTTATTTATTTTTATTTCAAATTTTCAAGGTATCACATTCTACCCTCCTTAAAGAATGCTTCGTCCTCGAAGCATAAACTAAGACGCGAATTAAGTATGAAGATGAATTATTATAGGTTTATAAGATATGACAACCTGCCCCCCAAGAAAGGTTACGTCCTCGTAACCGAATATTTACCTTAATTGAAAAGTTCAGGATACCGTTTACGCATATCCTCTTCTGTCTCCCATGTTGCATTCTCGGTCAAATGGTTTGACCAAAGTACTTTTACCATCTTAACTGTCTTCTTCCTTGTCTCTCGGGTCTTAGTATCGAGAATCTCTATGGGTTTTTCTTCGTAGGATAATGTCTCATCCATTTCAATCACCTAATAATATAACGGTTAACTTATATTCTTTTCAATTTACGTTTGGCTCATGTTAAGTCTAGGATTTCTTACCTCCGGATTGATGATATGTGACTCATCTCGAACATACTTCTTTAATTGTGATACGTGAAAGACGTTATGTACCTAGCATATATCGGTATGTTAAGAATGTATTTTAATCGTAGAGAAGTATTTGATTTCAAATCGGTTGTTACCTTATCCAACTCCGTGGGTAGAGCTAATCGATATGCCACTTTTCCCACCTTCTCTAGGATGTCATAGGGTCCGATGAATCTCGGACTTAGTTTCCCTTTCTTCCCGAACCTCATTACGCCTCTTGTAGGAGAGACTTTGAGTAGAACTTTCTCCCCTAGTTCGAATTCAGCTGGTTTTCTCCCAAGATCGGCATATGATTTCTGTCGGTCTTGGGCAGCCTTCATCCTTTCTTGGATGACCTTGATTTTCTCAATAGTATCTTGCAAGTATTGTGGTCCTAGAACCACCTGATCGACCATGTCACCCCAACATAAGGGACTCCTACACTTTTGACCATATAGAGCTTCGTATGGGGCCATTCTGATGCTAGCATGGTAACTGTTATTGTACGAAAACTCTACCAAGTCTAGGTGTTCATCCCATGATCCTTGCAAATCAAGAACACATGCCCTCAACATGTCTTCTAATGTTTGGATTGTTCTTTCGGTCTGTCCGTCCGTGGTTGGATGGAAAGCAGTACTTAACTTCAATTTTGTTCCCATAGCCGTTTGTAATTCTTTCCAAAATTGGGATAAGAATCGTGAATCTCGGTCTGATACGATGTCTTGAGGTACTCCGTGGTGTTTGACCACGTGTTTGACATAGGCTTTTGCCAGTTTCTCCATGCTCCAGGTTTCATTCATAGGAATGAACCTTGCAGTTTTGGTCAATCTATCCACTACCACCCAAATTTTATCTTTCCCGGACTTTGTTAAAGGTAAACCCCCGACAAAGTCCATTGAGATTGAATCCCATTTCCATGTTGGTACTTCCAAGGGTTGCACGAGTCCCTTGGGTTTGCATCTTTTCGCTTTGACTTTTTGGCAGTTCAAACATCGGGATACAAATTCAGCTACTTCTTTCTTCATTCCCGGCCACCAAAAGTTCTTCTTGAGGTCTTTGTATAGTTTGTCTCCCCCGGGATGTACCGAGTAGGGCGTGTTGTGTCCCTCCTCCATGATTTGTTTTTTAATATCTGCACACTTCAGTGGAACACACCATCTTCCCTTGTATCGGATGCTCCCATCTTCATGCATCTTAAATGGTCCGTTGACGCCATCTTTCATTCCTTTCTTGACTCTTTCGAGCTTTACATCTCCCGGTTGTCCGTTCTTGATTTCGTCAAAGGTAGATGGTATAACAGTCATAGTACATGACTGTATTTCACCATCTACTTCGCCATATTGCTTTACTTCCAAGCTCAATCTTTGAAAGTCTCGGAATAGTTCTTCTGGTAATATCCATGTTGCTCGGCATGAGTGCTCAGATTTCCGGTTCAAAGCATCTGCCACCACGTTAGCTTTTCCCTCGTGGTATTGGATTTCTAGATCGTAATCATTGATAAGCTCGAGCCATCTTCTTTGCCTCATGTTAAGCTCTTTTTGAGTGAATATGTACTTCAAGCTTTTGTGGTCAGTGTATATCTTACAATGTGCTCCGTATAGGTAATGTCTCCAGATTTTCAAAGCAAACACTACTGCAGCTAACTCCAGGTCATGGGTAGGATAATTGACTTCATGCACCTTTAGTTGTCTTGATGCATAAGCCACCACTTTCCTATTTTGCATTAGCACACACCCCAACCCCCTTTTGGATGCATCACTATAAATATCAAATCCCTCCGTCCCTGACGGTAGTGTCAAGACCGGTGCAGTTGTGAGTCTTTTCTTCAACTCTTGGAATGCTGCTTCACAATCTTCATTCCATTGGAACTTGGTTGTCTTCTTTGTCAGATTGGTTAGCGGTCTTGCTATCTTGGAGAAATCTTTAACAAATCTCCTATAGTATCCCGCTAGACCCAAGAAACTTCTTACCTCTGTGACCGAGGTAGGTGCACGCCATTCAACCACCGCTTCAATCTTCGATGGATCTACGGATACGCCTTCTTGGGTGATGATGTGACCCAAGAACGCTACCCGATCCTGCCAGAAGTCACACTTTGAGAGTTTGGCATACAACTGGTTCTCTCTCAAAGTTTGTAACGTGAGTCTCAAGTGTTTCTCGTGATCCTCCGGAGTTTTTGAATACACAAGAATATCATCGATGAATACCACCACAAATGTATCAAGATAAGGTCGGAATACACGGTTCATTAGGTCCATGAATACCGCCGGTGCATTTGTTAAACCAAACGGCATCACAGTGAACTCGTAGTGTCCATACCTCGTGCGGAATGCTGTTTTTGGTACATCTTTTTCGGATATCCTCACTTGATGATATCCAGAGCGCAAGTCTATCTTAGAGAATGTGCTAGCCCCCTTCAATTGATCAAACAAGTCGTCAATTCGGGGCAATGGATACTTGTTCTTGATAGTTGCTTGATTCAACTCTCGGTAATCGATGCATAGCCTTAGACTCCCATCTTTCTTTTTGACAAATAAGACCGGAGCGCCCCAAGGTGAGACACTCGGTCTTATGTACCCCTTCTCTAACAACTCCTCTAGTTGTTCCTTCAGCTCCTGCATTTCTTTCGGTGCCATCCGGTAAGGTGCTTTTGAAATTGGCGCGGTTCCGGGCATCAACTCAATTGAGAATTCAACTTCTCTCTCGGGTGGCATCCCTGGAATCTCTTCCGGAAATACATCCGGAAATTCATTGACTACAGCAATTTGGTCAATGTTTGGCTCCCCTGTATTCACCTCTTTCATAAAGCACAGGTATGTTTCATACCCCTTTCGGATATGTCGCCTTAATTGTTGCATACTCATCAGCCTCATACTAGGCTTGGATGTGATTGCTTTGTAAGATATTCGCTTCCCATTTGGACCCTTCAAGATCACCTTCTGTTCATCACAGAGGATCCTGGCTTTGTATTTCCCCAACCAATCCATGCCCAGTACTATGTCAATATCTTTTAAGTCAAATTGGATTAAATCTCCAGGTAGGTTGGATTCAGATATGAGTATGGGAATGTTGGAGTATACATTTCCACAAGTTACAAATTTATCTGAGGCGGTTCTTACATTCAAGTCTATTCTAGCCGTTGGTTCAATCTTCAATTTCTTAATGAAACTAGAAGATATGAAACTGTGAGAAGCACCAGAATCAAATAGAACATAAGCAGGCTCAGAATTTACAAGGAATGTACCTGAAACCACATCATTAGCATTGGCTTGGGCCTGATTCATCACCATGATTCGCCCTTGGTTCGGACGGTTGCCGTTGTTTCCGCCGTTGCCATTGTTCCCGCCATTGCCATTGCCATGATTATTCTCCCCTCCTCCTCGAGGGTTGCGGTTGTTGTTGTTGGCGGCGGCATTGTTGTTGTTATTTTGTCCTCCATTTGGCCCAGCTTGGTTCATATCTGGTCTTCCTCCAATACGGTATTGCACCTGGTTCACTGGTGCCCCATTGGTCTTTGAGAGACACTCGAAGGTTCGGTGCCCTAGCTTCCCACAATTGAAACATTTTGTCAGGCTTCCATCGCAGTTAACACCGGGATGATCTCTCCCGCACCTCTTGCAGTAGAAGTGCCTATCTCTGGGAGCAGCTCTTCGATCATTTTGTTGGTTTTGACTGTGGAAATTTCTTCCACCTTGGTCATCTCTCCTCCTCCTCCCTTCTTGTTGCTGTGTAGGTGGGTGCACTCTGACCCTCTTTTCTCCTCGACCTCCATCTTCGTCCCTCTTCATCTTCTGGTTCCTCTCTCTTTGTATTTGCTGAACTCGATAGTGAACTGCAGCTCTATCATAAGCATCAGTCAGAGTTTGGCAACCCAAAACAGCGACGATTTTCTGCGTATCATAGTTTAATCCGTAGATAAATTTCTCAACTTTGGTGCTTTCATCAGGCACTATTGTTTTCGCAAATGGCGCGAGGTCCACGAATTTATTGTGATATTCTTGGACACTCATGCCCATCTGTTTCAAATGTATGAATTCATCACGCATGGTGGCCTGAACGTGTGCAGGATAAAAACGTTTCCTCATGGCAATCTTGAAAGCTTCCCAATTGAAGTCAGGTTGTTGACGTAAAGTTGGGCCTGATGAGACCCACCAGTTATCTGCCTCTTGCTGTAAATAGTAAACAGCAATGTCAACCCTTTGCTCTTCCGGACAGCTCACCGCGTCGAAGAGTTTGTCAAAGAGTCGGAGCCAATTCTCGAGGATACGAGGATCTTCTTGCCCATGAAAGCTTGGAGGGTTGCGAGATGCCACTCGTTTTGCGGCATCATTCCCGTTGTTCTGGTTTTGGTTGTTCTGGAGCACAGTAGCACCCAATGTGTGCATAAATTGTGCCAGTTGTTGAACGCTTTGTGCCAACTCAGCATTGGTGGGCGTGTTATCGGGGTCTCTTCTCGGTGCCATGATATCTTAATGACATAAAGTATTCTTGTAAGAATTTCTATATTTTACTCCTAAGGATCCTAGTTCAACTAAGGATTCCATAGGCTATGCAACATGATCATATAAAAGTGTACATAACAATCATACAGAGGATTCATACTTCAGATAAAAGCACTTTCACACATAATGTTTGTACATACCTTAGCCACTTCGGAATTTTGCCTTATGAGGCATTCCCATTTTATCATTTGGGGTTCCCATTTCTCAAATGGGCCCACAATTAGCATAATTATCACATACATGATACATGTAAGGAAAATAAATACTCACAAGGTCCTCACCACGTTCCTAAAAGGCCATTTCCTAGCTATATTATCTTTCCTAATCTTAAAAATATTTGAAAATCTCCCTTTTGAAGGTACAATTTCAAAGGTTTCCTTCAATGATTTTGAACAACGAAGTTTCAGCACAAGGAGAAATTCCCAGGTAGTTGGACGAGCGCAAAGGCTCAATTAAGAACCAACAGCCTTAGACTCTTATCGTCTTGGTGACAGAATTTCTCCATACAACCTATTACCTCGTGTTCAAATCCTTTAGGAAAACCTAAGGCCCTGATACCAACTTGTAACACCCCCATTTTTCCCACCAAAATAAAATAACATTTTGAAATGAAAACATCTTTATTATAAAATATATTTAGAGTACAGCGGAAGTCTTTAATGGAAAAACAGGTGTGTCACCGCCACACTCAACCTATACATGATTGAGTGCACAGGCTATCCACCATAAATTCAAGTAGCCATCGGGTAAAACTTATAACAAGTTTATGGATTACAAATTTAAACAATAACAATTAATCAAACGTGTGCAACTAGCGGAACACTCGGGCAGCAAGTACATCAATCTTCATAATCATAATCATCTGTACAATAGAGCAAAGAGAAAAAGAGAAAAAGAGACAAAAATTAGCTTTAGAGCTAAGTAAGATTCCACCCGAACCCGTAAAATAATATAATTTGGAAAATAGGTTTTTGTATATGTATATATATTGAAAAGTAGTCTCTCATATTTTCAAATGGTTTAATGTCATAAAATAATTTCCACAATAGATAAGATCATCCTTCAATTCTTCCAAAAGTAATACTTTAGATTCTTTTAAGAGTGGGCGAAACTCAAGATTCCTCGAGCCCAATGAGTCGTTGTTATCTACGACTCATCCCGGAATTCCGGCTCCCACTGACCACCAATTGGAAGCTGAATTTCTACCTTAAGTGTGCACACCCTCTAAAAGGGATTCCAAGCCCTCCGAGTAGTAAGAAACCCAAGTAGGCAGGATGTTTTCTACCGCCTACTCACAAGGGACATTGTCCAAGGGTAAATTAGGTAACTACTACTACGACCACCAAAGGATCTTTGATCCTCAAATAAAAGCCCGGGATGTCTACCGGAGTATGTCATTGCCGGACTGGTTACCGACCCAAATAAATTTCACCAAAAGTAGTAGTAGCCCTAACCACCCACGCCTCGTGTTTCTCTCGAGACGTAAGAATATATATTATGAAAACTTTAAGTTTTCCCCAAATCATTCTTGTCACATTTTCTCAAAATATCCTTTGGAATAAATATAAATCCACCAATATTCTTTAATAAAAAGAATATACATTTAATCATCCATAAAAGGTAATGATCCACCAATATTCATATAGTCAAAATATTCGATCCATGTCAAACATATAATTTCCAATTCATAAATAATTCACATAGTGCAAATATTGCATACATATAAGTACGAGGCAAAACATTTTGGTTGACATAGAACTTACCTTAAATTGTGATAATCTCCTTAATAAAATCTCTAGCTTGATCTTCACTTGAATTCTCCTTCTAATATTGATCAAAATTCTAAATCAATAACTATTCTATTATTTCGTTATTTCTTTTATATCCAACCTTTAATTACTTTAACTTCATAATTCCTTCTTTAAATATAAATATTAAATTAATAAATCTTACTAACTGTTTATTTCCAGTTCATTCTTATTATTTTCTTTAATTATAATAACCCAACTCGGTTTTTCTTAATTTGTTTGGTTAAATAGTTAACTAGTCCAATTATATTAACTACATAATAATTTCATTATTTCGAATTTAAATAATCAATTTCAGTTCAAAATTCAGTTTACATAATTTATATAATTTATTTAATAACCCTTTTAATAATAACTTGACTTAGGCAGTAATTCGAAATAATAATCATTAATGATAATCTAATCTCAATAACAACTTTAATTAGTTCAATAGTTTATTTATACTAACTAACCCAATTAAATTAATTTATCCAATCCTCCAGTTTTATTTATTTGACTCACTAATTTAATTGAACTAACTAAATCAAATAAATAAGTTTAATTATATCAATATAGCTAAATACGTTAATCTAATTCAATTAAGTCCAATAACCAAATTCTAATCTCGTTTTAATTTTCTATTTTTAATATAAATTCCAGAAATGTTATCAAGTCTATAAATTAACTAATTTATCCATTAAACTAATTGATTTAGTTAAACTAGTCCAATGAAGTCAATTAACTAACTTATTAAGTACACATTACTTAATTAATTTGTTTATATTCATCAACTAATTTTTATGAGTTCAAATAGTTTAATAATTTATATGGAGTCCAAATCACTAATAATCAAGGGTAATAATTATTAATTTAATCACGCTAATTTAATATCAAAATTTCCTTATTTAATTACTTAACTAGTTTATATGGCTCAATTAAATTAAATAACTTAATCATCACTTTTATAAATTACTAATCATCCATAACTATAGTTTGGGTCTATACTTGACCTAGGTTGTCCAGATATTTATTTTAGAATTATTTCCTTTATTTATTCACTTAATTTCATATATCTATTAACCGGTTTAATTACAATTAAATATGCTAATTATAATTTTTATTAATTATAAATGGTCCCAAATGTCCTAGTTAGTCATATATTTAATCTAGCTTGCTCCCATATTTATTTCATAATTATTTTCGTCATTTAGTTAATTATTTACTAAATGTGTACAACTTGGCCCAATTACAATTAAATCAATTAAAAATAGCTACAAATATTATTTTTCAATTATTCTTGGTCCGAATATGTATTTTTATACCAGGTATTTAATTTATATTTTTCCAGATTTTATTTATTTCATTTACTATTTTATTTTTAATTTTTTATTGAAAACGGGCCGAACCGGCCCAAATTCGCGACCCGGCCCAAGAAGACTGGGTTGTCTCCTTCCCAGCTCTTCTCCAGGTCGCGATTCCGGCGACCGGAATCCCGAAAACTCCGGCGAGCGATAACTTTACTTACAGGTAACGGATTTCGACGATTCCAGTTGCAAAATGATCCTCACGTCAAGGAGAAGCTCCGCCACCCCTATCTACGGCAAAATCGTGTCTTTTCTGAAGACCCGTTTCCACGGCTTGCAACTCCGGCGACCTCTAGGATGCTCCGGTGACTACGAATCGGTCTGGAATTTATTGGGAAGTATTCCTAGACCTCTCACGACCCTCCTCTCTTGTTTATAGGCAATTTCTTACGTAAATTTATATATGTGTATTTTTCCGGCGAGTAAGTATATATATATATTCTCTACTCGTTTTCTTCACTTTGTGGTGATTTAGAATGGGAAGGAAGCTGTATTTATAGCTGTAGATCGATCATTCTAGGCTGAATCATACATGGAGTGATTGGTTTGAATTATTTCTTCATTATTATTCAATATTATTATACATAGTATTATGAACATGCATGTGTAAATGTTGGTTGTTCTAATTCATTCTAAGTCTAGTCCGCAAGTTCATTGCATATATTATTACCTCTATTTGTATTATTGTGAACACCTATGTGTATGATTGTTATCCACAAGTTACATTTTATGTGTATATGTATATTATTACATGTTACAAAATGTCACTTATAATACTTTGATATTTATTTTTATTTACCTTGTCAGATATATTTTATCTGATTTATTTTTATTTTTATTTATTTTATTTTATTTTTTTCCGATGCCACATAAGTGTTTAATTTTCATTGCATGTAGTGTGCGTATATTTTTATACACCAAGTATAAAAAAATATTTTGATCTTACTTTCATTTGATTTATCAGATATAACTTATCTGATTTATTTATTTATTTTTATTTCAAATTTTCAAGGTATCACACGCCGCCATGGAGGAATTGTGCGACTAGGGTTTGGAAGGCTATCTTTTTTTTGTTTTAGTCTGTTTGTGTTTTTACTTTGAACGTCATGTTGTTTTGTATGTCCCGTACACTTATTTCTGTCAGACTATTACATTAGGTAGGGGTGATGAGAGTTTTGCTCTGGCCACGTTAGGCTCATTTAGACCCATTACAGGATCAGCGAATCATATTGCTCTGTCTAGGGTGATTGGTTCTCAGGCTGATTCGAGGGTCGGTGGCTGGAAGTGTTTCCTTTATCTTTTTTGTCCCTTGCTGAATGTTTTATTATCAATATAAGCCGCTTTATTCCAAAAAAAGTATTATGTTAAACACAATAGTGATACTACGTACTAGGGTACTACACCACTAGCTACTACGTACTACTCCCCTCCATCCTACTAAGAATGAGACATTGTGATTTACGATTTTTGACCGACGATAAAGCAAATAGATCCATGCCTGCATTCAAATTATTTTTAGAAAAAAAAATACATATTCAAAAACTGCATTAAAAACTTGACAAAGTCACAAAAATCATAATCAAATTTGATAAAATTTTGATTTATAAAATAAGAGATTAAGAGTGATTTGGGTTGACCAAGTGAATATAAACTGGGAAATTGTTAGTGGGACGGTGGGAATGCTATTTCTTACTAGCTCAATTAGATTATATGACCTTGACTCACAATGGTATTATTAATTATATTTAATATTTCATATTTTCATGTGTTCTACTAAGATTGTCTCATCTTTTCTTTTCACTCTGTCCCGCTAAGATTATCTCATACCAAATTTGGTAAAGTTTGTGTGTTTTTTCATTATTCTTTTTTATCAATTCAATATAACCACATAAATCTTATTTTTTTTAAAAGCTGCATCTCCTCCTCATGTCCAGTATTAATGAGAGAGAGGTAATAATATTCAGAAATGCTAGGAGTACACAAGTTGTACACAAAATGTCTATCACAGACAATTGGTACGGAGTTACGTGTGAGAACAGCTGTAAAAAAGTACGGCTAAGAGCTGCACAGCTAAGAGTTGTCTGTGCACACAGACAACATTTATTTGACCGCGTACATTAACTTTCTCGTAAAAAGTACACCGACAGCCACCTGACACTGACACCAGCTTGCAAATCCATCTATATCTGTGCAGTGCATGTGTGCATAGACAATATTTTTCGATTGCACAGACAAATATTTGTCTGTGTGCACAGACAATATTTACCACACAGACAATAGTCTTGCGCTCACAGACAATAATTGTCTGTGTGATCAACTTTAGTTGTCGGTGTGATCAATTTTAATCGTCTGGGTGAACAAAAAAATTAATTGTCTGTATACATCCAAATGAATGATGTGGTATAGTTGTATGTGTGATCAATTGACATGTAATTTGAAAAAAAAAATGAAAAATAATAAAAATAGATAAAATATGATGAATAAATTGATTTTGTGCAAATAATGGAAAAAAATTGATATAGAAAGATAGAGAAAAAGAGGAAGAGTAGAAGGGAAGAGAAAGATGAAGAAGAGAAGATTATTATCTCATACGGAGTATATTTTTTTGAGAATTTTGAAGGGATTGGGTAAAGAGGAAAGAGAGAAGGGAAGAGAGAAGGGAAGAGAGAAGGGAGGGGGGAAAATGAGGAGCTGTTTTGCGGGCTATTATACCATGTACACTTTGTGTACAAGTCATGTACACAAAGCATTTTTGAATAATATTAGAGTAAGGATGGACTGGGCCCGGTCTGATCGACTCGGTACCCGGCCTGGACCGCCATTGTTCAGTACCGCCCCGGCCTGGCCCGGTCCGGCGGTAGTGCGGTACCGGGACCGGGACTGAGGCCCGCATTAGGGTTTGGGGGGGCAAGCTACGGGAGTACGGGACATGCAATTGAGTGACCGGCCGGTCCGGGCCAAACTTTATTTTTTTATTTTTATTTTTTGGGTTTGGGCCTCTGCTAGGTGGGTTGGGCTGGGTGTTTTGGCGGGGTTTGGGGGTGGGTGGTAGGAAACTAGGAATAAATTGAAAAAGCAAAATAAAATAAAATTAAATGACCCGAACCCGGGCCCGACCGGACCCGGTAGAATCCCGGGCCTGTACCGGGCCTTAGGCACAGAAATTTTGTCCCGCTTTTGACATGTCTAGAGCCCGAAGCCCGGGCCCGGGTCAATGCCTATATTAGAGTGCTACGTTTATTTTTGTTATTTCCAATGATTTATTATAAGAACCTGACCAAAATTTTACCATTGTAATCCTTCTGCATGCATCGGTGTCATGATCGTAATAATAAAATCAAAACATGGTATGACATTATTGTATGCGAATTTCTCACAAACATCCATTATTATTATTATTGTTATTATTATTATTATATTGTGAAAACATGGGGTTTAACAATGTTTTCAAAATGGGATAGTAAATTAATAATGAGGTTTAATATGAAAATAATTGTGAGAAACTCCCATTTACAGATGCAAAGTTTTTTTTTATTATTAATCATTTTAGTAATTCAGTTTCATGTTTAATCATTTTTTGTTGCTATTCATTATTACTGTAATAATAATGTTTTGAAAACATTATTACTATATTAAATGGGAGTTTTTCAAATTTATTATTATTATTATTATTATTATTATTATTATTATTATTATTATTATTATTATTATTATTATTATTATTATTATTATTATTATTATTATTATTATTATTATTATTATTATTATTAGGGAAAACTACAGTAAACGTACTTGTGGTTTGGGGTGTTTTCAATTCGAGGCATGAGATTCATTTCTTGACAACCACGGACGCGTGATTCCACTCTGTTATCTCACCCGGGGCACCGACCTTACGACGTTAGTAATAACTGACGTGGCATCATTTATTTGGCCACGTCCGCTCCAACACATGATTTACTTGGAATTGAATTTAGAATTAAACACCATGCTTTATTCTTACAATTTAGGTTTAATAAGGACGAAAGCTTCAGTGTATATGTCAGCGCCGGTGACCGTGGGTCGATTTTGCTGGTGAAGTGACATAAGAAGACGGCGACCGGTAAACAGCTGGTGTTTCTGTGAAACGTAAGTAAAGCATTTGAGCTTTTCTTTTTGTACTGAATGTTTAAGTTTCTAGAGTGGATTGTGTGTTAAATTCATAGGTTGCAATGTATAATTTGTGGTTAATTTCAAATGTATAAATGTATGTATAGGTCGGAATGACAGAGTATGTGAACTTGGTTATTCACCATGGTGGTAAATGGGACTGTGCAAAAAAGAAAAGGGAATATTTGGGGGGTGAGGTGACCAAAAAGGAAAAGGTAGACATTGACTACCTCAGTAAGTTCGAATTGGATGGGTATGCAGAGGACTTGGGCTATAAAGATGGTGTACAAATATGGTTCAGAAGGTTTGCAATTAAAGATGTATGTGGCCCAGCTGCTTTACAAGAAATTGAATGTGATAAGGATGTACATGACATGCTTCTTTCCAACATAATGGACCCATACATTGAATTGTTTTTGTCTCAAAGAAGAGTCCAAAAGGGAAAGGGAAAGCAAAAGTACCAGAAGGCCCCTCAAACCCTTCCCAAAGTGCAGATGCGACCCCAAATTGTGATTCAACTCCATGTACTGATATAGCCATAACCTGTGATGCAAGTCCTTTTTTACGACCACTCATCCGTGTGGAGTCAACCCACACTCCATTACAATCTCAGCCTGAACCTCAGGGTCTTCCTGCATTTCTACAAGCACAATACCACAGTGATACTGAAGATGAAGATTACCAACTGTCAAGTAGTGTGAGTGAATCTAGTTCTGAAAAGCGGTCTCTTTCACATGTTAGTCAAGATGAAGCAAGCTGGTTATATCAAGATCTAGAAGGCAGTGAAGATGAAGTTTTTCAGGATTTGATCAGTGAAGATGAAGCACCCGAGTTTAATGAAGCTCATGATGAGGGGAATACACCTGACTTTAATGAAGACACTGTGGTTGACCAAGACTTAGATGAGTTCAATGAAGAGGCAGCCTACAGTGATGACCTTCACAGCTATAATGGATCTTCAGATGATGAGGGAAATACTCCTGATTTTAATGCAGAAAATGGATCTAAACATGGTGATTTGTGCAAAGGTATGAGATTCACATACATGTGGAATTCAGAAAAGCTTTAAAGGAGTGGGCTGTTAAAAGTGCATTTGATTTCAAGTATGTGAACAATAGAAGAGCTAACATCACTGTGGTCTGCAAAAATAAGGAAACTTGTTCATTCCAGGTTCATGCATCAAAAATGAGTGATTCTGGGTATTTCCAAATAAAGACTTTCAGGCCCAAACATGAGTGTTCCTTTAGTAATCGAAATAGTCTAGTGACAAGCACCTATTTGAGTGAGAAATTTCTTGATGAGTTGAGAGACAATCCAAACTGGGATGTTTTAGCAATGCAAAAGACAATTCAAAGGCAACTTAGGGTGCAGGTCAGTCTTGCCATGTGTTATAGAGCGAGAGTTAAAGCAAAGGCCAAGATTGCAGGTGATATCACAGAGCAGTACAGGAGATTAAGAGATTATGTTGCTACTGTCCTTAAGTATAATCCAGGTAGTCTTGTCAAGATTAAAACTGAGGTACTCTCTGAGGAGGTCCAACAAGTAGCTGTGAGTGAGGCAGTTCCTTCAATACCCAAAGAGGTCACAATATTTCAATACATGTATATGAGGTTCACAGCTCAGAGACAAGGCTACTTTTCAGGTTTAAGACCCTTAATCTGCTTGGATGGGTGCCATGTGAAGACTTCAATGGGAGGACAACTTCTATGTGCAGTTGCCAGGGATGGAAATGAGAATATGTTTCCCCTGGCTATTGCATATGTTGACAGCGAAGACAAAGCTTCATGGACTTGGTTCCTACAGGTTCTCTTTGAAGACTTTGGAAGATCAGAAGAGACTAAGTGGACTTTCATGTCTGACAAACAGAAGGTAAGGACTGTTTGCACTCATGCTCTTTTAATTGTGTTTTTTTTTTCTGTAACTTATAATTGCTTATTATGTATATTTTGTACATGTACACTTATTTCAGGGGTTACTTGAGGCTTTTAAGGCTGTCAATCTATTGAATGAGCATTAATATTGCTTAAAACATATGTATGAGAACTATAAGAAGGTTTTCAGGGGTGGGGAGTACAAGAAAAAGTTGTGGTTAGCAGCAAGCACTGGATGTTTAAGGTCCTGGCAGAGACATATGGAAGCCATTAAGAGTTTTGATGAGGCTGCCCACACTTGGTTGCTGCAATATGACCCTAGGACTTGGAGTAGGGCTCATTTCTCACCACACACCCAGTCAGGTGCTCTACAAAACAACATATGTGAGTCTTTCAACTCTTACATTCTTAGAGCTAGAGATTTGCCTATCCTAAGTATGTTTGAATGGATTAGAAAACGGTTAATGAAAAGGTTTCATGTGAAGTACACTAGGATGGTGAAATACAAGGGGGCAATCTGTCCTAACAAACAGGACCTTCTAGAAAAATACAAGTATGAGAGTAGGAATTGTTTTTGCACACCAGCTGGTGACAAGCTTTATGAGGTAGAATATTTTGATAGAAGCTATGTGGTCAACTTGAATGAAAGAAGTTGCACATGTAGAATGTGGGATTTAAATGGTATCCCCTGCAAACATGGAGTGTCTGCTATTTATGCCAATAGAGAAAAACCTGAGGAGTATGTCAGTCCTTATTACTCAAAAGAAACCTACCTGGCTGTGTATAACCATATGATCCACCCTGTCCCTAGTAAAGAAGAGTGGGAAACCACTGACTACCCTGACATCTAAGGCACCCATTCCAAGAAAGCCAGCTGGTAGACCAAAGAAAAAGAGAATTAGAGCTCCTGAAGAAACAAGGAATCCATATAAGGTTTCTAGGTCTGGGAAACAGGTTGTTTGTGGTAATTGTAAGCAGGTGGGCCATAATGTAAGAGGATGTAAGACATCCCTTACAGGAGAAACCCCATGGCAGAGAAGAATGAGGCTAAGAAAACAAAAGTCTTCCACAGGAGGAGGCCAAGAACCTGATGCTCATGAAGCTGAAAATGCAGATTCTCATGTCAACATACAGGTTGTGCAGACCACCAGTGAATCAGTCCCCATTGCTTCCACTCCAAATGCAACAAGTTCAAGAAAAAGAAGAAATACTTCTAGTTCTCAACCACAACAAACTTCATCAAGAAGAATTACTAGATCTTGCAGTTCACAACCACCACAGTCCCTGGTATGACTTAATGGTGTGACATTAATGACCTTTAAATCAGTGCTTGTATAACTATTAAAATTGTTGTTTATGTGTGCAGGACAAACATTGTTGAACATGGGGGTGCTTCAATTTGAATAGATGTCATATAATTGCTGAGAAGATGTCTGGGCTTAATGTTATTGTGATGTAATTGTAATTGTAACTGTGATGAATGTAGCAGACAATTTGTAATGTCAGTTGGATTGGTTTTTGCAGTTATTTTGCTGAAATGTAATGTGTACTATGTATTGGATGGATTTTAGCAATGAATGTATGGTCTGTCTGGGCACACATTGCTTTGGTTTATCTTAAAAGGCAGGAACTGTATACTTGTTGTTTTGGATGGAATCAAATGAGTATGGGTCAGATTGTTATGTTTCAGTATAATATGTCAGATTGTTATGTTTCAGTATAATATGATGTTCCTATTATACTTACAATTGGATGTTCATCAGATTATTATGTTTCTTTGCTTTATCTTGCAGTGGGATGTTCATCAGATTATTATGTTTCAGTATGGGATTGCTAATCTGATGTGTCCTAGTAGGATGTATTAGGGAGTCAAAGATGATAATAAACATGACAATAAAGAACAACAGCTTAGGGACTCAAACACTATCATTCACATTTGATTTGCTTGTCATCTAATATGCTTCCATAATGGCTTAAACCCATTTTGCAGAAATCCCTCAGTGGAATATGTAAAACACATATGATGCCACTGAATAAGATAATAAACAACAAAAGCTTCAAAAAGATCATAAGCTTCATAACCAAATTCATAATCTTCATTACAACAATACAACCAAATTCAACAACCAAATCAGTACCCACATACAACCACACAAGAACTAAACATCTGCTAAAGAAAATGACAATTAATTGAGACTGAAGTTTGAGTGATACATTTTATCAAACACATGGCAACCTTACACACCTAATATATCCTACTTCCCAACAAGATGATAACCAACAACCCGAACCACACTACATTCCAGGAGAAAGTCTTATTGCCTTTCTTTGACATCTTAAGTTCCTCTTCCATATTTTGGAGTTTCAAAAGCCCTATCCCACGAACACAACTCTTGATTTCAGCTTGCATCTCCAATTCTTTCACTCGGAAATTGTCTTCAACACTGGTAATCTTCTGGAGCAAAGTATCTATCCGTCTCAAACAAGTAACACGTTCTTCATCCTCAACCCATTCAAACAAATTGCACTTTTGAGCACTCAAGAAACGACCGCATTCATGAAATCTTTTCCCCCTGTTTTTGTCTGTCGTAGCAGTCCACACTGGTGCTTGGAGTCCACACTCACACCTCTTAATTCGTCTTCTTCCATCCATCCACTGGGACTCAACGCTCGAAGAACTCATCGCCCTCTTACTCGCCTTTCTTTTTTTCCTTCACCGACGTCTTAAGGACAGCCTTAAACAAGAGGCTGGAGGGTTTTAATAATTAAGCAGAAAAGATAAGCCACGTGTATATGCATAGATGAACCATTTCAAATTTCACCGTTAAAAATTTTGCCACGTCACTTATTTCTAACGTCGTAAGGCCTGGTGCCCCGGGTGAGATAACGGAGTGGAATCACGCGCCCGTGGTTGTCAAGAAATGAATCTCATGCCCCGAATTGAAAACACCCCAAAGGCCCAAACCACAAGTACGTTTACTGTAGTTTACCCTTATTATTGTTATTATTATTATTATTATTATTATTATTATTCCCTTCGCTTCATTCACAATGACATATTTATACTATGAGGTACAAGTTGAAGTGTATACAGCACAACATTACCATCTACAGACATGATGATTTTGTTTAATGAGTTCTGAACAAACCATGCTGCATTACAAGAAGGCCCTCTAATCCCCCTATGGTACCTTCGGAACCGAAGATCTCTTTTTACAGCATAATACAAGAGACAAATCTGCAGCTGTGTTAGACCATTTTAACTCCCTTTGAGTACTCTATTCTAATTGCCCATAACCGCTCTACGACTGTCTTCATATCTGGGCGATCCGTCCGGGTAGGCGCTGCACATTGAATTGCCAACTCAAACATCCTCACCAATATCTCCCTGTCTATCTTTTCCTTCATCAAAGGGTCTACCATGCCGGTTACGTTCCCTTCGCTAAACTTCCCAAATACCTGCACTATCAATATCATGCGTGAGTTGCAGGACTTTGAAGAAACAACTAAAGTGATTGGCATGTTATTTTTTCCGATACTATTTCATTCAGTAATCCCTCTGTAAAAAAATCAGCTTTGGTGAAGATGCAACATTTTACTATTGACACGGTATAACTTTTTAAAGTAATGGAGGCCTAATTACTCCATCTGTACTAAAATAACTTTGCATTACCAGAATGTACACACACTGACACACTTTCGGAGTTATATCTCGGAATCTGAGGTCTTGGCGAATTTCATAAATAGTCCCCAAATTTTTAGGCCATGGTATTTTCGTATAAACTAAAAGTTAGAAAAAAAGCAGAACAAAATAACATCGTATATGAACCTTATTGAGTTGTTCTCCCAAAGAACTTTTCCATTAGAACATACATGGCTACAAACAACAATGTATATTTTGATGAAAAACAGGTTGTGAAACCCTTTGTTCAACATTTAGTCCACACATATGCACAAAATGACCCCAATTTCTTTTGTATTAGTAATTTTTTTTGGCCCTCAAGAATCGGGTTCCAAGGGAATTGCTTCATTGGTTTCACCCTCAGATAGAACACTTCGCTCACAAACAAGTGGCCATTTAGCAAAACCCAATAAAGTAAAACATAGTAAAATGGTTTAAGTTATCTTCACATATGAATTAAACTTTTTCTTGCTACTCTAATTACCTAGATTAGAAATCAAGACGGGCATGATTGTCAATTTAGGACAAAATAAACTATCAGCTTAAAACCAAAACCAAAAAACTTTAATGCAGGACTTTTGAGAATGGGAAAGCATATACTTCCTCCATTCTTTTTAGTTGCAACATTCCCATTTTCACGCTTCCCAATGCACAACTTTAACCGTCATTAATCATTATATTTAATTCTCTATTAGTAAAAAATTTAAAAATCGGATTGTGATAATTTGTAATGAGATGAATTCAACAATATTTTTCAAAAATAAAATCTCATACATTGAAAAATAAAATCTAGTAAAAGTAGAACATGTAAATAGTGTAAAATTATCCATGTTGCAACTAAAAAAGGAGGATATATATTTCATTATGAGCTTATGATTTCTTCTTGGCAAACTAGTGATATGGAATAAAGCAAAATGACTCACTAAACACTCTGCACTTCTTTGTTATGAAGCAACAGTCAGTCTATGCAATTTTGACGAGATTTTCACTATGGGTCATTCGGAAACAGCCTCTGCGTACATCCGACCCCCCCTTATCCCACCGTAGGTGGGAGCCTTTGCGGCACTGGGGTGATGATGATGATGAAACTACATGATATGGACTTTGTTTTTAGGATGAAAAACCCTTTGAAGCATGACATCCCTTTAGCCGGGGAACGAATTGTATATATTTAGATTAGAAACTACATGAAAATTAATACTCCCTCCGTCCCAAACTAACCTTCCAGTTTCAACTTGGCATGTTTATTAAGACATATGGTTGAAAATATAAGTATGATCAAAATTGGATGGAATAAGTGAAACAAATCAAATAATAGCAACCGCATATTCATTTCTTAGTACTGATACATGAAGATCATTCCAGGACAAATTAAAGTTGAAAAAAAGAAAACTATTTCACAAAAGGGATAGTATTACACATAGAGATGGCAATTATTTTCGATGTGTTGCATACCAGCACTTGATTTATCTGGTTAAATCAGGGAATACAGCATTAACATAGTACGAGATGGGAAATAACTGTTACTACGTATATTTTTAAGTGTAATGAAATGGTTACAACTACACACACATGCCCAATAACCGCAGAGTTGGTTTTGGATAAAGTTAGCATTTCATCATTTTCATTCACCCAGTGCCGCAAAAGCTCCCACCTACGGTGGGGTAAGGGGGGGTCGGATGTACGCAGTCTTACCCTTGTACTAAAGCACATAGAGACTGTTTCCGGATGATCCAGAGTGAAAATCACGTCCAAAATTGTATGGACTGACTGCTGCTTCATAACAAAGAAGCACAGACAGTTTAGTGAGCCATTTTGCTTTATTCCATCATATTCTCAAGCCAAAAAATAATGAATCTTTGGATAAAGTTAGCGTTAACCATTTAATCCTTTAAATTATTAATTTAAATTTATATACTATTATAAATTACATGCATTAATACATTTTATGTATGTGTATGTGTTTGTGCGCATGCATGTGTGTAGAGGAACTTGTACATGTGTACATTCATAGAGAGCGAAATACAAATACATACATTTATTTTGTAATATTATTTAAAATTAATAATAAAGTTTTTTATGATATTAATTTTCATTCGCTGGAAAAAGCATTACCCATTTAACTAATGGTTACTGGCAATTATAATATTACCCATTGCAGCAGCTGGAACAAAAGTTGTCCATTGGATATTGGGGAGTTAAGGGTGGAGAAATTATCCATATGTGGCGGATTTGATATAATAATGAAATAATCTACCCTGTTGGCCGTCCTCGACTCATAAACCAGAAGTTTAATATAATACGAGTTAAAAGATTATTAAACCAATAAATGAAGAAATAACTGTTGTTTGGACTAACAAATCGTAACTAAGACATGTAAAATGGGAGAAAGAGAGAGCTGGACTTACCCATCTGAGTGTCACCCTCTCATCTGGAGGTTTCTTCATCTCCACGGGACGGCGACCAGTTAAAATTTCTAACAACAATACCCCGAATGAGTAGACGTCACTTTTCGGTGTAAGTTGGTATGTCTTCATGTACTCAGGGTCAAGGTAACCAACGGTTCCTTTTACTTTGGTTGAAATATGTGTTTTATCAGCATCTGTATCTCCCAGCCTCGCAAACCCAAAATCTGCAACCTTTGCCCGCATGCTCTCCGTCAAAAGAATATTGGATGACTTCACATCTCTATGGATGATAGGCTTCTCTGATATATATTAAAGAAGGTAAGTTTAAAAGAAAACTAAATAAACATGTATCAAACTGTTTGTCCCATCTTCGGTTGAAATTGGTTTCTTTGGTTCAACTGTTGAAATATTGGTTTTAGTTAAAATGAACTATAAGCATCTAATATATCACTTAATTTTACTTAGATCTTGCATGACCCCTCTCCCCTAGCTAGACTTATCCTTTTTTAATGATTCAGGATCCGTAAATAGGGAGGTAGAGGAAAACAAAATAGGGAGGTAGAGGATATTTGGAAAGAAGGAAAATGTGAAGGAAAATAAAAGTTGTTTCAAAATAAATAAATGAATTTATGTATCCATTCAAAATAGGGGTAAGACTGCGTACATCCGACCCCCCCCCCCTACCCCACCGTAGGTGGGAGCCTTTGTAGCACTGGGGTAAATGAAAATGATGATCCATTCAAACCCATTTTATGTACTACATATATATTTATACAATACAAACACTAAGAATCTAAATATGTGCATAATTTAAAGAGTTTTACTCCAATTGATTTTGTTGGAGTTTGTTTTGATGGAGGGTTTTCAAAGAGTTTCCAGTGGAAGGCTTTGTTTATACTTTGATAAATATTTGAGATTTTATAAAAGTTGAAATATAACATAATAAAGCATATAACATTTAATCATCTTTTATTTGCGTTTAGAAAATTATGTTTATGAAGATATTGCCTGTCTTGCAAATCCTTCCCCTTCAGATCCCTCCATCCAACAAGTCCCTTCATACATTTCTCCTTAGCCTATCTCATTCCATGTTCCAAATATAGCCATAGTGTTGCAGCTTCTTTCAAACAGTAGCTGCTACTTACAATTCATGAAAAGAAGTAAATCAAGTAATTCTATATGGTCAAGTGGAAAAACCCTCACCAGCATATAAGTGGAGATATGTTAGGCCATGAGCAACATCAATGGAAATCTCAAGTCGCTGATTAAAATCTAATATCTTTACATGTGAACCTGTAGAGTACCAATAATAGTAAGAGTATTATTATAATTCCCATTGTAGATTTACTTAAAATCACTATTTCAGGATTAAACGTTTTTTACCATCTAGATGCTCCCGAAGTGTACCGTTTGGTACAAACTCTGTGATGATGAGACGCTCATTTCCTTTGTCAACATAACCAAGCAGCTTAACTAGATTCCGATGTTCAATTTTTGCTAGCAGTTCAACTTCACTTTTAAATTCACTTGTTAAAGTATCAACATGCTCCTGTAAAGTGTTTGGATAACAAACATATAGCATCTCATATGAATACACCTAAATATTTGTATATGATGCTTGCTACCCCTTCTAGAGGTGGATAATTCAAACTAATACAAAAGTAACGAAACCAACCACATGAAGAAAACAAGGTCCTAATGTCCTATATGTTGAGTTTCCATATGAAGTGTATCAAAGGAACAATGAGTGTGTACTATTTTGGGTCAAGTCCCCCTTTTATGTTCTCGGGAGAAGTTGCAAATATGTCTCGAAACTTATAGGGTGGGACATATTTAGTCCGTACTGTCATGGGGTGACAATTTTGGTCTTGTACCTTGGAAAATTTGCAATTTCACGACTTTTTATCAGACATCACTTATTCCACCTAAATATTTCCTGTAACGTCACAAATGATACAAATTTAATGTTTTCACCTTTTTATGGCTGACATGTACTTTAGGAGACTCAAAGTAAATAAATAAATAACAAATAAAACTTCACACAGGTAAAACATGGTAGGATTTTAGTTATCTTCCAAGCGAAGCACCTACTGCTGCTTCAGGCATGGATTTGTCTAGTTTCTTATTTATTTCTCAAAATCAAATATACACATGAGCTGTAGACTGTCATAATCCTGTCACAATCCAATAAATTGTGCCACTCAAGTAAAATCCAGCAGAGACAAAGGAAAAACTTTTTTGTGTTTCTTTCGAGTTACAGGACTGGAAGTGTCACCCCTTGAAAATACAGGAGCAAGAATGCGACCACCCATAAATTATAAAATTAAAGGGCCGACTTTGTAATTTTGCAGAGCTTCTTGAATTTAAAGACATCTATGGAGAGGGCAATGTACCTTTTTCGCACGTTTAATGGCAACGCAGGGACCATTAGATAGCTGGCCCTTGTAGACAGTCCCGAAACCACCTTCGCCTATCCTCAATGCTGGAGAGAAATTTTGAGTGGCTCTAAGAGCCTGAGTCAAATTCAAATGAACAGATCCAACTCTCTCCAGTCCAGGAGACAGTGTGAACCTGGAAGGACTTGGCGGGACCCGTAATGGACTGGGCAGAACCTTTTCAATAGCGGAGTTCATTTCCAAAGGAGCAGAGGGTTTCACTGCAAGAATACGCACAATGTGGGGTGACTAATTGACTACCAGTTGCCAAAAAAAATCAAATTATATGACTACCTATTGCTTGTACGTGCAAATTCTTGTATGGACTAAGGATGCATTGCTGGTCCATTTTATTAGAGATTAGGGTGCAAAAGTGAATTCCACAGCTATAGGGAGGCTATTGAAGAGTCAATATCATAAATCATAATGCTTGACAGTTGACATAAAATAGTATCTCAAAAAAATGTTGTTACTCGATCTGTATGAAAGCCGAAAATACTAGTCAGAGAAAATATGGAGGATATAGACTGATAAGGGGGAGGTTTGGGAGGAGGGAAGTGGGGGGGAGGGCAAATAAATAAAAGATTCTAACTTAGTAAATTAAATTTTAATATTAGTTCAAACTTCAACTCATTTTATTAATATATTTGATATATCTATATTAGCATGTAAAGATAAAATAAAAATCAGTGAAATTTGATTTCACATTGTACTTTCCTGGATAAAATCAAACCATAAAAAAACTAAGTTCCTTCTATTTATTTCCACTTTTCCCATCCATTTTCCACGTTCGGAAGCAGCCTTAAGGAGTTAGGTCTCCACTTGATTCCCGGTAAAATGTTTCCCATAGTACGGGAAAAAATGCTTATGGAAAACAACTCTTTTCAAAAGATGAAGTACTTCTAAAGAGAAGTTCAAAGAACAATAAGGAATCGTTCTTTGAAATATATATAATCGGGCGAGATAGAGACTCATCTAAAAATACATTTCAGTTAAACAAAGTGAGCCTAAACATATATTTGTGTGGTGAATGTAATTGGTAATCAGATTAAGAAAGCATAGGTATATCTCTTTCGCAGTGTTAGCAACACAGTTTATAATTCTCCGTAATGTATAGATGATAGAAAATGAAAATGAATCAAATCACCTGACTTATGGTCATTAGAAAGAACAGAACGAGACGTTTCTTTCCTTTTAGCACGCAAGCATGGACAAATCACAGCACAGCACAAGACAAAAATTGCTGAGACAGACAGAGCCACTCTTTTTGGGGTCCACGGAGAGTTGTTTTGAGAATCATGCTTTTCTTCCATCTCTTTTTTGACAAAAACATGGATATTGGACCGTTGCCTTACAGCTTTATGCAGAAATTTTCTGCCCGAGGAAGTAAACTCATCTGCAAGAAAGTAATTAGGACAAAACACAACACCATCAATTAGAACTATTAGAACTAGCTTCAGTATACTTATGCAGAGATAAAGAAACAATTTTTTTAGGTAACTGCACATATTAAGAAACTTAAGTAACTTTTTAAATTAAACCAGAGCTTATCAAGTCTTAACCAAAACCGCCGTTATTCATGAACTAAAAAACCAACTTTGTATAACCCAATTTTTGCATACATATTTTATAATGTGTATTGATCAAACTACGGAGTAACTAAAGCTCTATAAATTTACTACATGGACTTACAAAAAAGAAAAAAAATCACAACAAAATTTTAAAAAGATAGCATAAAAATGGGTTGCCTACACAACGGGTTTTTTCGTGAAATATTACTGAAATATAATTATAGACAAAACACAGACTATGAGTATACTACCGTGGTCACTGCAATATAAAATTGCACAGAATCATGATCACTACATTTACTACTATAGTACTATGGTCACTAAGTATTAAAAGTCACATTTTTATCCACTATCTTTAGTATAATCATATGTTGGCCATTATTTCCATTTATAAACTCATTTCAAAAACAATTTCCACTTATGTGTTTAATACAGTGCAAAATATGTTATCCAATGTGGCAATGTGCTCCTTACAATTCTTTGAAGGGTAAATCCAGAAAGAAATGACTAATGATTAATTAAATCTCCATATATCTTCTAATTGGACACATAAAAGGGTCCGGAAGAAATACAAAAAAAATGAACATACAAATAGGACCAGAAGCAGTATATTATTGCACATTTACCTACAGAGAAATCCAGCCCACAATGCTGATAGCCAACACTCCCCGTACTGAAGCAACGGTTTGAAGCATCAACTACAAAGGCTTTGCAGAATTTATGCTTGTCAAATAATTCCCCATTTACGTAAAATAATTCACGATGAGGATCATCTGAATAGCTGACAAGGTAAGTCCTGCAAGCTTGAGAGTGTTCTAGCAGCTCAGAAGATAAAAATCTTGGCAATTGGGCAAATAACAGAAAACAAAGCAAGGCAAATTCCGTTCTTGGAAAAGCTCCAAGTAGTTGCTTCATCTTTTTAATAAATAAAAGGAGAGTTTTCATTGCAGGTCCCTCAACTGTCTGAGCCAGCCTTCATAACAGAGCTTGAATTTCAGCTATGCCCTAATTAGGGCAACACCAAATAAACAATCTTAGCAAACAGTATGATGAATAATGCTGCGAATGGCCCGCCTTAGAACCCTAATTTGACAAAGTATTGACTTAGCTTTCAAATCATATACATGACTGAATTTTCTCTCCAGAACTCAACCGCAGCTTCCAAATTCAGATAACCACCCAGCTCAGACATCCGAACACTTGATATAGAATTATAAACAGATCGAGAATATTCTTGAAGCTCACCAACCCATGGAGGGAACCACTAGAATCCAAAAACCCAAACACCAAAACGGAAACTTTGGCTGCCCAATATGCTACTGGAGAGCAAAGTAAGTCCTAAAAGTAGTGAATCTGCAGTAAGTTCTTGTAACAGTCTGCAATGAGAGAAACAAACCTGGAAGATAAGCAGCTAAGTTCTAGATTTTTTTACGGATTACTTTTCAAAAAAAGACTGAAAGGGGAATCAAGGAAGACTCAACGCCTGGTGTGAGGATCCTCTGTGCCGCATTGCCTGGCTGGCTGGAGAGCTAGTGGTGGGCGCATATGTGCACGCGCACTACAAGTCGTAATTTCACATCTCTAATTCTAGAATTCATTCTCAATTTGGATGAGGACTTGTCAAAAATTAAGGAAAATCGGTTAGGAGTCGGGGAGTAAAAATTTTGTACTGTTTTGCATTGTTTGATATTGTTTTGCACTGTTTAGATATAGATTTGTTTACCAAATAAGGAAATAAGGAAGTGTAGCATTCATTTTGAAACATCCGAAAAAAGAAAGTGTGTCAAATAAAATGAAATGAAAGAAGGACTAGTTTATGTTGTTCTAATGTTAAAGATAAATATTACTAGGTATACGGAGTAGGAAATTATGTTGTTGTAATGATCTTCAAAAGATCATATTCTCACACAATTAATTTCTAAGAACGGGTCACTTCAAGTTCAAGAGTGTTGTTTATTTTCAATTTCATAATTAGATCACATATAACAATTCCTATTTACTTTTCAATTTACTTTTTATTTACTCCCATTTGGAGAAGTATCTCAAGGGAATATTCCTGAAATAAATAAAAATAATGTGATACTTCAAAATAAGAGTTATTGTTTCCCTTTAAATATAAGTGAAATACTATCATTCTAAAATAAGAATGTCTCGTATTAACATTATCAGGCATTGGTACCATAACATTAAATATTAATGTCATAGTTAACGTTAGGGGACACTGTCAAATATGCCTTCTTAGTACGAAGTATAACGAATTCGTCAAATATACCCTCGTACTAAAATAATACCCAATCAAACCCATTAACGACAAAATATCACCCAATTCCTCCATTTTGAAGGTTACCTTCCGGTTTATCAGGTTGTTTAGCCACCCATTAACTACAAAATATCACCCATTTCCTCCATTTTGAAGGTTACCTTCCGGTTTATCAAGTTGTTTAGCCTATGTGGATAAATTTGTCCATTCACCTGTCTTGTTGGCGCATGATTGTCATCACGTTATATTTCATTACTTCTATTTAGTTGAAAAATACAACACTCCTATTTTGAAATATCATATTACTATTACTCTTATTTTGCTCAATTTCTGATAAATAGCACGGGGGAGAGTGTAAATTGCCAAACAAATCTCCAGAGGAAGTATTCAACAACTTCTATGATAACAAGAAAAAGGCTTATACGGTAAAATCAGTTTCTAGATTAACAAATTCACTTGCCACTATGCACCTAAAGGCTAAAACCACTTCCTACAAGGACTACTATAGAAAAAGAAACATTGAGAGAAACTAAATCGGGACTTCCATTTTTATTGGCGATACAGTAATGCTGTTGCTTGCAGATTCATTCTGCTGCCAGTCCTTGGCACACACGAGTGCCTCCACCGTCTCAGGCCGCAACGAGCACCGGTAACGATCCATCTCTTTGGGCCCCACAGTGCTGAACACCGACTCTCCCGTCACTGTCGACACCGGAACAGTTAATATATCACGGGCCATCTTTGAGAGTGTCGGATACTTCATCCTGTTGAGTTTCCACCACCCAACCACATCAAACTCGTGCACCCTGGGTAACAAAGACTCCTCCAAGTACTGGTCCAGCTCAGATTTTGCCAGCTGGCTCGTCGTCTCCATTATGAAGGCATCAAATTCGGTGAGCCCTGATTTATTATTATTGTTATTAGAGATATCGTGACCATCTCGAGTCCCGCCACCATTTGGATCCACATAGTCTTGAAACAGCTCGTGGATCCCATCATCAACGACCTTCACGTATGATGTGGCATCCTCACCATAGATCTTGGAGAAGCTGAACTCAACGAGCTTCATCTTGAAACGTGGGTCTACAATAACTGCGATCGACAATATCAAACAACAGCTATTCCAGTACTTATTGAACCTTTCTTGCATCAGCTTGGTTAGCCCGCTGACAAACGGGTCCTTGCTAACCGCTGCCCGCGCGAGCTCCAACTGGATCTTCCAAACCTCATGGAAGAAAGCATTTGTCGTCGGAGTTGTCGGCCCACTCAGGAGATTTGAAGTGTCAAAGAGGATCTTGAGGTAATTATGCAGCGTCTCAATCCTTTTCCAGTCTTCTGTCGTAGGGCCACCAGAGTAATCCAGGACGGAAGTGTCCAAACAAGAAAAGACTTCCTTCAATTCAAGTGCAACTGCTAACATCTCGAACGTTGTGTTCCACCGTGTTTGGTCATCTAGTGACAGGTTCTTCGCGCTGGGAACCTGAAGATGCTGCTTTAGTTCTAGAAACTTTTCCTCATTTGATTCCGAAGTCTTAACATACTTCACGCTGTCTCTCACTTTCTTCACGGAATCTTGAGCAAAACTCAACGCGTCCACCGCAATACTGCTTAATGTATGAGCAAGACAATTCCCAACCAAAAGTTGACCGCCGAGAATGACCGGGTTCTTGACGGATAGTAATGCCCGGAGGTTATCCACCGCCTGATTGGGCAGAGGTTGATTGATTGTGACAGAAAACAGTTTACCCTCTATACCCCAATCTGAGAGGCAGACAGCGATGGCGTGGCTGAATGCCGTGTCGGAATCTGGAAAAGGTTCCCTGACAACATTAAGAACTTTCCTGTGAACCTTCCATTCCGAATCAATGAACTGCCCGCTTATGAAAACATAGCCAACCCTGAGGTGCGAAGACCACACATCCAGGGTGAGGCATATCCTCCCCGGCATACCTTCAATCATCCTCTGAACAGCTTGTTTTTCTCTGAGGTAAGTCGCCAGGCAGTCTCCTTGAACGGTGTTGAAGCTGAGCATATCGAACCGTGGTTGGAGAGTCTGAACGAAGGCAATGAACCCCGGATGCTCAACCATGTGGAGTGGGTAGTCGTGCATGATGGTCATCCGGGAGATCTCTTGGCGACAGCGGTCCAAGTCAAACGTGATGAAAGGCGTGGTGGCAGTACGATAACGCTTCTTTGGCAGGCCCGAGGCGGCATTCCCACCTCGGTACCCTCTCATCTTAGCCGGCGCACTAAACAACAAGTTGTTATTGTTGTTGTTCAGCAGTTGTTGGTTACGAAGGACTGCAGCACAGGTGCCTTTGGCGATGTGGCGTTTGAGGTGGCTGGTCCCTGCCACTTTGCAACCTTGGCTGTAAGCAAATGACTGCTTGCATTGTTTGCAGCACGCCCTTCTGCAGCCATCACCAACAGATTCAATGGTAAAGAACTCCCAAACCATTGACTTCTTTTTCCGGACTTTCTTGGGGGGCATTTTGGGTGTTTCCAAAGTGTTGTCTTGCATCTCCATCGGGACTATCTCATTGTTAAGCATCATTGCATCAGGTAATATCTCGTGATCAGCCATCACCATTTCATTGTGAACTACAACAAGCTCGGTGTTGTTCTCGATGGGTGTCGGGGGGGAAGTCATCTTTTCTTTGCCAGAATATTAACCTTCAAAAAACACAAAAGGAATGATATGTGAAACCATATATGAGAGACGAATGACGCTCAAAGAGAAACAACTAATCGAAGAAGCACTAACTACTAGTAGATCAGAAAGAAAACCTCCAGTTAGAATAGATTAAAGTACACAGTCACAAAAAAGTATAAGTATTTTATTAAATTGATATGGTAGCACCATCAAGTCTAAGATGAAACTACAAATGGATACACTGAATGAACAAATAAATAACATAATCAAGGATGAGAGCAAAAAGTAAACATTAAAGTAAAAAACATTACTTTAAAGTCTAACAGAATTTACTACTCACGGGCAAATTGAAATATTAACATTGCTGATATCATGCAACCTTCATCCAACCAGTGGAATTGTTAACTCTTAGTTGGGAGAGTAGCAACAACACTAGCGCAAACACCACTTTGTTAATTAGCACTGTGATATATCAAATACTGTATCTAACATGAGCTTGAAGTGATCAAAGCCTTATTAAGGAAAATTTGTAATGGACCACCGATAAATAACGAATCAACGACTATGCACTCTCAGAAATTATCAGATCTGATAATTCATAAGGCGTGGGCTGAAAAAGCACGCTTCACAATTTCACGAACACGAAAATTCTAGATTTTGGAAACAATCAAATCAAGGAAATAAATGACGGAGCAAAGTAAACAGTTATACGAGTCAAGAAAGTTGGGTATTCCCGGACATACATCGGAAACATAGAATCTTCTAAATCGGTTATCAAAAGCAAAGAAACCGATAAAACACAAACTAATCGCACTTATATAAGAAAAACAAAACCAAGTAATAAACGAGGAAAGCCAGAATGAGGATTCGGGATTTTCAAACCTGCCCAAACAAACAACCAGATTTTCGAAGAAAACGGGACCAAAAAATTCGATCTTTCCAGAAAAAGCACAGAGGACAACCCGCACGTCTCCGTTTTGTCGAAACTTGATTCCGGCCACCGATTTCCAGCCGTGGAGAGGAGCCGGATCTAGGGTTGCCGCCGGTGGCGATGAGAGAGGCTTCGCGATGGGAGAGAGAGGAATTGGGCTTGGACCCAATAGTATAATGGACTGCGGATTTGTTTTCTTAATGGGAAGTTAAGTCTAGAGTTAGAACTTGTAACGCATTGTCAACAAAGAAGAGACCGTATTGGATATGGACTTTTAAGGTCCATTTAGGGCGGCATTCAAATTCAGGGTGTTTTGGGGTTTTTACACTGCATCATATTGTAGCGGACAACTGCAGCCCACTAGGGTGCTGGGAGGCGGTGTTGAAGTGTTGAACATTTTTACAATTTTTACAAAATTGTACCATTTTACTTTTTCAGGAAGTCCCACTAAGATTGTCTCATATCATATTTCGTAAAGATTATGTGGCTCTAATTCATTCTAATTTTATTCTTACTTTATCAATTTAATATCAACTACACAAAACTACTTTTCTTACTAATTGTGTCACCTTCTCTCGTACCAATCTTAGTGGGACGGAGGTAGTACTTCTCATTGCTAAATTTGTTTTGATAAAAAAAAGAGTGCAACTAACCTGTGCGTTGCACACGAATGACGAATGGATTTAGCAGCCAGTTTAGTAATTTATGTCTTCCACTTATCAATCTTACCAACTCACAAATTGTGTATTTTTTTTTTAAATTCACAACTTTTGACTTGGTGCACTAAATAATACTCCATCCGATTCAAAAA